TAAGCAACAACAAGGACCTGACAGCAGCCAGGTACAACACAGCTCTCCCTGCAGACGGACAGGGAGATCTCCACCTTTAACGCACCATGCCTGCGTGCCTGCAGGCTCTGCTCAATTATCAACCACACCTCCAGTTGTGGGTTTTAAAATATATGAGTAAAGGCCACACCAGGACTTCTTTTTAGTCTAATATTGAAAACTGGTCTATCCACACAGCCCTTGGTGGACTGACTCCTGTCTGTTCTACCCGTGCTCGGGGCTGGCTGGACACCCTTCAACTCCAGACCAACAGCACCACACTCAAGTCTGTAGTATTGCTAGCTCCAGAAGAGCACAATCCCTTCAGACTGGAGTGACCAGAGACTGACCAGCCAGTTATCGTGCAGGTCCTCTGTGATCACCCAGTAACGGTCATGTCAGGCTGGACTTGAGACAAGGTTTGGGGGAACTGGTTGAAGCTTAATTACATGTCACCTCTTACTGTGGTATATGCTGAAGCTTCAGTTCAGCTGGATGTGACTTACAAACCTTTTGTCTTCATCACAGTGAAGACAACACTGAGCCACTGTAATCATCCAAGTCCACCAGGCCTATCTCACCTGGGAGACAGAAAGTAAGGAAAACATTTCCAACACCCAGCCATGCTAAGCATTGGAAAAAGTATTAAATGGGAGAGGGAGAGCCTGAATGAGTCTAAACCAGTGAGTCTATAAACTTAATCCAATGACATCACCAAGATGACAGCTATGAAATCTGTGGACCTGAACTGGTGTTTGGAGAGTTAGACTTAATTGGAGAAAGAAGGGCTGTTTCACCTACCCTCCCATGGGGATCTCGAAAGAGACTTTAGGGAGGGCCTGTGATACACAGTAGTTGAAATAAAGGCCCCCCAAATCAATCCAGAGAGCCCAGCTTTCATTCAGGTGCCTCACATCCCCCAGTCCTTGTGTTTCCAGCACAACTCCACACTGCCTCTTCTGCTGTTTCTCCCTCTTTCATCTTCTCATCTGATCCCAAAACTTTCCCTGCTGCAGAGCACCCATAGAGTGAGATTAGACAGCCCAGCCAGCACTGCCAGCCTGCATAGGCTGGTAAGTATGGGCACTCAACTGGGTTAGCCAGGGAGTGACCCAGACAAAGGGCATGACAGCATCCAGGTGAGCAGCTGCAGTGGTCCACATGTTGGTTTAGAGCATCTGCCCATTACTGGCGGATCCTCTTGTACCCAGACAAGATGGTGCCCAAACTATGCTTCCTCCACCCAGCCTGTATTCTCTTTTTTACCTGGTTGTTGAAGTCAAGGAAATAAACTAAAGGGGAACTCAACAGCAGAAAACAAGCAAATGGTATTATCTGACTTTTTCAGAGATTTCAAATGTTATCTTACCTTTTAAAAATGAAACTTTGATAAGATTTTAGTATCTCTGTCCTGCATAAACCTTTCCATCTCAGAATGCTCTACAGATTGCTCTGAACTGTCTTCCATTTTGGCCTCCATCAAATTGTCTGTAAGCTTTGACACTGATTTGTATTCTGTTTACCAAGCAGGTCTGTAGCCACAGACACCTGAACCTTGTTTAACTGCTTCAAGCTGCACAGTGACAGGATTGCATTACCATTTTGAGTTCTCTGGATGTTGAAATGAGTATAAAGGACCTTTCTCTCCGCATCAGGGCACATGATCAAGTTATCCCATCCCTGCATGTTCCTGCCTGTGAGCTGAGCCACTGTGACCACCCAACTGCACAACCATAGCCTGTGACACAAGACATGTCTTATTTAACACTTTTTCACTATGGATGAGGCTACTGCAACTATCTCATGCTTAGTGACCTCAGCAGGAAGAATTCTTGATGAGAGTAGTAAGCATGTCTTCTCTTTTGAGCCCCAGTGCTTTCTTCAGAGTATCTCTAGGGCTGCTCTAGTCTGCAATGCTCAACCAAAAGCTCAGAGGAAGGTGGAAGATGCTGGTACCATGTCAAAATATGCAGCATCATGGAAAGACTTTCCCAGACACCAGACTTCCTTTTGGAATCTGGCCCTCAGAGTCCAATTTGACCATGGGGATCAAAGCTGGTGTTAATATCAACACTACACCCCTATGACCAGGCTAGCACTCATCACACTCAGTGGTCCAGCTTGTTACATCTGCTAAATGGCTCTGGCTCATCTGAAGGTGTCCACACCACTGAAAGGAGCTGAATTGTACCCTTTGCCATGAACACACTATACAGTGGGAGCATCAAGAAAACCAACTCATTGTCTGGCAAGTCCCAGTACTCACCCTGAGTATAGAGTTGCATCCACATGGACTGGACAAGGACACAAGGCAGATTTGAATCCAGACAGCTCTCAAAAAGCAGCACCGTCAGATCCCAGATCTCCCAAGTGTGCTGTCTTTAGTCCAAGATCCAGACTAGTATCAGGGTTGTTTCCACACCAGAAACACCACGAGATCCTTGTGTGTCTCCATACTGTCATGAGATCTGTGAGTCCCATATCAAACAGTGCCCCCACGAAAAAGAAGCAGAGGTGCTCCAGCCAGCATGTAGGCAAGGGGAACAGCAGCTGGGGAAGAGATCCCATGCACATTATCGTAACAATGCAGACATTTCAAAGAACCTGTGATACCAATCTGCCTCCTGACACTCTGCAGCCTCATGTCAGGTGCTGGCCAGGCATCGGAAGAAGCTGAGATGGAAAGCAGTGCAACAAAAAATACACTTCCAGACAAAAAAATATACTCAAAAATGGAGACATAACACCTTGGAGACCTGGGTTGCATTTTGAGTGCTGTCCGGTGTGTAAACCTGCCTGGTGTCAAGGATGCAGCAGTGCCTGTGTGTCTGTGGCCACTGGAGAAGAGGAGGAGGAAGGCAGAGGTGACTCAGAATGGGATAGGATTTGCTAATAGCTACACTTAGAGGTGGTAATAAAGGCTTTAACAGTGGTCTAAGGGGGAAATAAGTGATATCCCACTCCTTTCCCACGGCAAGGGTAGAAAAGAAGTCCAGACCATCCAGGAAGGAACTGAGACCTTCAGGAAAAACACAAGTTAAAAACATAACACCAGGAGCAACAGGGCTACAGGGGGTGACGCATGTGGGACTGCACAGAGTGATGAGGGTTTATCTTGTCTAGGACATGGGGAGAACACAGTGAGCTTCTTGAGGTGTAGGGTCTAACACCCTTGCCCAGCCTACCTGGGCCTGCCTTGCACCACGGGCCAAACAGAAGTGACCAAGCCCCGTGGCCAAGCTGTCTCTGCAAGGCAGTGTCTCCCTTCCCAGGTAACTGCAGATACCACCAAGTTTGCATGGTGCTTTCTCAACACAGTATTTAAAAGCCAGTGATCATTTACAATGTTTCAGTGAAACAATGAGAGGTGGGACAACCTGCAGGTGCCAGACAAGCTTTTGAATACAGAGATTTAAAAGAAATGCAAGATTTTTACAAGGATGAGATACTTGTCAGCTTTCCAGAGCATCACACCTCACATCTTCATTACTTCCCCATATGTTATACACATGTGCAATTCTATGATCGATCATCAGCAACCATAAATATCAGGGGGACTATGTGCTATTTAGATAACAATTGAGAGAGATCATAAAAAAGGAATGTGAAGGAAAAAGTCAATCACAATTTAACTCTGGGGACTTTACCATCTTTTCACATCATTAATTAAAAAACAGACAATCAAGGATGATTTTCCCACAGAGGAAAGAAGTTTTTCAAAAGGAGAAACTTCTGTGTAAGCCACAGTTTCCAGTGCCAGTTTCCTTCCTATTGTTGAAATTAGACTTTTAGTAAAAATAGCATATATCTAATGTAATGCAAATGTGTAGCATGGATCTATGCTGGTGAACACAGAGGAAAAATCCTGGGGAAGGATGATATGGTCATTGCACTAATGGTGCTCCGTCTCAGCTTGATGTCCCCGGTGGAAGGCTAAGCACAACACAAGCAAATTTTAAGTGCAGTTTTCTAATCACAAAAGATTTTAAAGGATACCTGACTAGTCCCTGTTTTAACTGCAATCAGATTTCCTTTAAAATCATATAAGATTGAGCTTTCCAAGGAGGAAAGAATTGTCAAGAGAGAGGCCCATCCAGCTATGCTGTCTATTCTGGGCATGAGCAGCTGGAATGGAAATATAGCACAGATCTCAAAACAACCACCTGGCCCTCGGCTCTGCGGGTGCCTCGCCATTTGGATGGGGCCCCAGTGGGCTGTCCAGCATGCTGACGCTGCCTGAGAGTCATGGTGTGCCCCCCAGGAGAGCCTCTCCGACACAGAAATAATGCACTCCAAGAGCTGAACCAATGGTCAGGCACCTGGCTTCCAGATCTACACTTGTATACATGCTTTGAGGGGTTTCTTTGTGTGTGCATTTGTGACAAGTGAATAGGAGGGAATGCTAAAAAGCACTTCTGCCACATTAAACTAAACATTTTGGGAAATCTGTTCTTGCTTTCTGGAGGCTCAAGTTAAAATGTGATGGCAAGGCACAGATGCATTTTCTGCAATTGTTTTATGACTTATGCTTAGAAGATGCATGTCTTTCTTCTTGCATTTCCTATAGCCTCTTTTGGCTTTCTCACCCATCCTCAAAAAAACTCCAAACCCAAAAACAACCCCCCCCCCAAAAAAAACCCTCTAAATCAAAGGCTGTAACAAGCACATTTTACAAGTATCAATAAACCCATGTATTGAAAGAGCTGGGCATGTTTAAAATCCAGCTGCAATTTTAAGTAGCACGTTCTTCAAGTTATCATTGCAATAGTTACCAACCTCTCCCCCTCTAAGATAGACACCAGCAATATAAATCAAAATTTTTGAAAGATCTAAGGAAAGATCAGTGGCTTTGGGAGAAATCAAAGAGAAGTAGCAATTAAAGAAGATTCCAGGAGGCAATAAAGCGTTTATGCAAAATGTCTCATAAAAACAAAACAAGGGTAAAAAAGCTATATGGGGGGCGCGGGGGGAGAGGTACTTACACTCTTCTTCCATAACAACTATTTTAGTTTCTGAGGCTGGTAAGACTTGTGGTGCTTTCGTTGTTCCTGGGGAAATTAAGGTAAGAAAGTAGTGAACAAAATATCTATTTTGTGCAGAGTGGACTTAACTACTGCAGGGAGGAGGACAAGAGCAGGTGCTGCTGGGTGGGGCAGGCTGGGGTGGATGTCAACATGTTAGTACTGGTTAGAGGGACTCTCAGATGGGTAACTGGTAACAGAGGCAGATAAACCAGTACCCCTGCAGGGGGAGGGCACGGGGCACACTGGCCCCTGGCTGTAAAGGGCCTCAGCCATTAGGATCTCTGTCATGACAAAAAGTCAGAAATGGTTCAGGAATCACCCTGAAGGAGATGAGAGAAACTGTGGGAGGATTTTTAGCCCTGAGGGCCATGAAAGTGTGACTGATGAGATCACAGACCACCACAGTGAGAAAAATGTGGAGTTTAAAGAAAAGGTGAGATCATCTGAAGAATCTCCATCCCACAAATATGTGCAGTTCTGCAGCACAAAATAATGGTCATACAAGAGATGGAGGATCATGAAACAGACGGAGACCATGGCCCAAGGCAATATGGGAGCCGAGCATGTGTAGCAATTTCCTTTTATAAACCAGGATACTGGGAAAGTCCAGCGTCCACAGTCACCAACTCTACATGCGCCTGCTGGCAGCAGCAGCCCCTTCTGGATCAAAGCTCCTCACCACCCTCTGGATGAACAAAGGAGAAAGCCCCAGGAGCCTGCACTGTGTGCGCAGCACTGTCGGAGACAGGCTGTGAGACAACCATGAAAAGGTAAAAGCAGAAAGCATTTTTTATAAAAGTTTGATTTTTCCTGCGGTGTTTAGCAAAGGGGGATGGGGTGTCAGTTAAGGAGGTGTCTAGAAATTTTCTGAGGAAGAAAAGAGTCTCAATCAGCTGCATTTCAGCGGCGCCCTCATGCCCATGTGGTACCAGTATTAGACTACTCATTGAAGACAACTGGGAAATGGGACATTTTTCTAAGAAAGAATCTAATTTACCATAAAGTAATAAAAATCTGAAAATAGCACCAAAGCACAATATGTTTTGGCTAAGCCCAGAAACATTTCCTCAGAAACTGACACCCTTCCAAAGCTTTTCAATGAGAAAGCATTTATTTCTGAGCTGGGCATTTTGTGGAAATACCAGAACTGCAGAGGAGAGACAAGGCGATGGGTTTGGCTTACAGGCATTTTCTTTTTTTCTTTTTTTTTTTTTTTTCCTGCACTGCAGCCACTCTCCTTCTAAAGAAAATTTATCTTTAATGTGTTTTGGGTAATTTGAAACAGATTTGCATGGCTGAAAAGGTGCTCTTTTAAAACTGGTATAAACCAAAAGGTGGTAGTGGAATAGAACAGAGTACTTTCAAACAGCAACACTGCCTCATCAAGCTAATTTTTCACCAGCAGTGACTGAATTTCCATGGGTCTGAGAGTCTCATCTGTGAGCTCCTTCTCTGCCAGCCAGGGCTCAAGTGGGCTCAGAAGCCTCTGTCTCTGGGCTCTGCACCCCTGGAGAGGAACAGCATGTTGGGCTGATGACACCTCACTCCTCCATGATGCTCATCTGAAGCCTCAGCACCTCAGGCCAGCTCCTACAATGCCACCTCTCTACAGAGGCACACAGAGATGATCCCAACCTCGTGCCTCTGTATCACAAGATGTGGTGTCAGCTCCAGACTTTTTCCTAGTCCTGGATCCGCCCGCCTGTATCACAGGAACTTTACAGGACCTCCAACACTACTGCTAAGTGTCAGGTTGGAGAATGTGCTTCCAGCAGATGGTTCCAGAGCATCAGTCCCAGCCAAGCCTGCCCAGGACAGGCAGATGCACCAGATTCCCAGGACATGGCAGCAGTAAGAAGCAGAACATAAGGCAGCAGAACATACAGAAACAGCAATAGCTGGAGTAAGCTTCTGTGAAAGAGGGGAAGGCTCTGAGGGAAGGCCAGCTTGCACGTCTGCTCTGATTAATTGTTATAAACTGCTAGAACTTCACAGAGGACTGTCCTGAGATTTAGCTACAAAAGGATCAATGCTAAGGAGCCTGGAGAAGAATGCAGGGACAGAAGACAGCACATACTTGGATTCAGAGACAAGCAGATGCCCCGAGGAGTTTTCTGCTGAAAGATATCACAGAAGAAGGGAGCTTACAGAAGTGAGGAAAGCTGTCAAGGTCCCAAGAAGACCCAGCAGTGAGGGAAGAGACTCTAAGACAGCAAGTGCCTGGGCACAGATGAAGGCTGCTCAACTCTGGGTGGCTCCAGGGCGAAGTGAAAAAGTGAGAAAAAAATGATGACAGATCTGCAAAAGTCTACATCAGCCACCATCATCTCGTTTACCTCTGCAAGGGACTACAACTGGCATTCAGCTGCTGTCCTGCCTGCAAATAGCAGCAGCAGCAAGGTGTGCATGCAGCTGAGAGGGGCAAGCCAAAGGCAGACTTTAAGGCAGCTTAGGAAATGGATTAACCAGGGCACTGCCACAGCAGGGCACAGCAGTCATTCTGCTGGATCTACAGCATCCTGCAGCCAGAAGCTCCCACTAGGAAAAGGTACAGGGCAGATCTCTGGGTGCTTTTCAGGTGTCAATAAATTTCTGGGCAACTCAGGTGTGCCCTCACACCCTCTGTGTCCTGAGTGAGAGCAACCACCTGCCCTTGCCAGACGACATGCCACACTCCATTCCTGTGGAGGAAGAGTTAAACTCTGACAAATGTGCCACTATACCTGTGCAGGTGGGAAGGGACAGTCTGAAGTCGCAGTGGCTGGATATGTGTTTTCTTGGTGCCATAAGCAGTGTACAGGGTCAGAGCCTTGCTCTGCTCAATCACAGTCTTCCTCTTGTGAAGGGGGATTGCTAGTGACTGGGAAGGAGAAGTGGAGGAGGCAGACGGGGCTCTGATGGCAGGCATACGGGCCTGTGCACTCTGCACATGGGCAGCAGGGGTTGCACATACAGCTCCCAGTCACAACACCAACAGTTTACATTGCAGTGGGACAGCCGAACGTCAGACCAAAAAAAAAAAAAAAAAAAAAAAAAAAAAAAAAGGAGTGGCACTGCCTTAGCTTACTCTGGTCCTTTCCTATCATGATGAGAAAGAAACACAGCAGAGCAGTAGAGCTAACTTCATAGATGTGAAACATGAAGGCATGGAGGTCCGAGCACAGATGGCCTTTCTCCAGACCTCGCAGACTTCGCAAGCACGGGGTTTTTATAGGCAGAGTAGCTGAGGGGGAGGCTATGTGATACTGCAGCTTTGCAGAATAAAAGATTCAGGACTGCAAACACTGCTGAGACAGAGGTTAATACAGAAAATAATGCCAGAAAGCAGCAGGAGAAGGCTACCTTCCTTCACATTTGAGTAATGCTAATGAGAGCACAACAGATAAACTGGGCCACACCAAAGGGCTGCAGAGCACAGAGCCCAGGCTCCCACAGCAGCCCATCGCGAATGGCAGGAGGAAATGCTTAGGAAACAGAGCTTGTACAGAAACATCCCTCCCCTAGTCACACCCTCCTGGCTTCTGGCAACCACTGTAGGGACTTTCTGGGCTGGAGGGTGCATCCAAACCATCATATTAAGCAACATAATTATTATGACCGAGATAATAATAAAACCACCTAACCTCAGACTCCACCCACTGAGCTCTAAGAGATGGAGCACACATTCTAGGATGAAAATCAGAAACAACTTCACTCATCACAAAGCTATGGTTTAATTACTCATCTTCTGGTGATTTTTGCTTCTCAGAAATTCTTTAAAAAAAGAAAGCATCAAGCCCACCAGCTTTCTTTCCTCTTTACCCCTTTTAAAAAAATACATTGACTGTAAGTTTATTTAAAATGTAAATTAACCACATTGCCAGTGACAGATAACAAAGATAAACATTTATGCTAAGCTGCATTTTTCTTATCTCCCAAGATTGTTTTACTCAATATCCTGAAAGCATGAAACAAAATACAAGACAGATCATGTGCAGAAACTCCTGCTTTCTGCATGAATGGTAGACAGCTCAAGACATTTGCTATCTTCTTCACTTACCACTTTTCACATTCAGGCTGCCTTTTGCGGTGTCTTTCCCTAAAACGTTCTCCGCTTCGCAGCTGTACTCCCCAGCATCTTCCAGCTTCACCTTGTTGAACTGCAGTCTGGAAATCTTTCTGTTGAAAAGTACAGCAGACATTTCTTACTCAATTGCTAACCATCCTCATGAATTGATAACCATTCCTGGCCCTGGTACGCTGCCTGGTGTGCCACCCCTTCTTGAAAGGATGGGCTGCCTGACCTCACAAGCTGAACAGGCACTCAAGCCTGGTCAGGATTCACATGAGACCCGTTCCAGCAATCACAACCACCATGATTTCCTAAATGAGCATCTGCCTCTGAACCCACTGCTCTTATCATGTTGCCATGGTTTGGTCTGAAACCTGCTCTCATTTACACAGAAAGTCTTGCGAGGGGTTGAGCCCAAGAGTCCCAGCATCACAGCACACAGACTTTCTGCACTGGAGAAGAGCTGCTTTACTGCTGGACAGCGGAATATGTCTGTGAGACAGGGCCGTGGAGATGAGACACATGTTCTGCACCTTCCCCAGCAAGGAGGCTGGGCAGTCCGGTGCCTCACCAGCTGTGTTCAACAGTGCCACACAATCAAATGCAAACACCCACGGGGTCAAGGGGGACTCATCCCTTTCCAGCCAGCAAATCAAAACCTTGTGTTTTGACCTAGACAGCTAGCTTGTAGCTTTATCTGGGCCAACAGATAGGGCAAATACTTCATCTCCCCCAAATACACACACACACACTCCAAAGTACTACAGACATGTGGGGCTGAACTGCACATATCTCATCAGCCAGAAGTGCCTAGAAAGGGCAGAAGATGATGTGCCCGTGTTAACTAACAACCTGTGCTGCATGCTTCACGGGAGAGGGAGCAGCTCTGTGGCAGAGCTCTGCAGTGCTATGGGGAAGACAAGCATCGCCTTTCCCACCGGCTATGACTGATGTCTCGTTCCCTGGGATGTCTCTCTGACTAATAGGCAAAACCTTTTGTTGACTAGTTTAACAGAGATATATAGGAGCCTTCAACACACGCTGAATACCATTCATGAGACCACAGTGGGATTCTTACATTAAGCCCTCTGTTTTACTGCATTTCCTTCCATTTTAGCCATCTTTTCAAAAAAGACTCTGTGTACTCTTCTTGTGAGAACACCCCTCTGCTTTCTACCCCAAGTTTTTATCTCAGGTCTGTGTCATACAGTCGCTTTATTTAGAGGACTGGAAACACTGCCAGCTTTAGACAGAGGTCCCAGTGGCCTATGTCGCCGAAGGCAAATAAAACTCTTTTTATGTGGAAAATAATCATTAGCTTTGGACATATTTGCAATGTTACATGTGTCATCCGAGAAGGACTTTTCTTTGGGCTGTGCAAATCATCGTCCATAGGACGTCCTTCACAGAAGTACACTGGCATCTTTTTAACGCCCTGACATGCTGTCTACTGGAAGACACAGCGCAAGGACACAGCATGAATATCTCACTAGTTATATTAGTAAATTAAAAGCACTTGGAGACAATTTGGTATGCATCCCGGGATACTGGCACTGCCCTGTTTTACAGGATGCGGTCAAGTGTTCAATTGCACGAATTTAGGCCCCATGTGGAGCAATTTTTAAATTAATGTTGACAGTATGCAAAGATCTCTTGAATCTCTCTAATCCCAGGTCTCCCCTAAACCACTGTGCAAAGCCAGTTATTTGGGCCAACAAGCTCCAACATGGGCCTAAACAAGCCGGCCGATTCAGAGGTGCAAAGCTGCTCTGACTCCCAGTGCTGTACATTTCGCTGGATTTTCTCAACACTCTTAGAACAGCCTGTGACAGTCCTGGGCATTGTGGACCTCGCTACTGTGATGTCTTAGGAGTCAAGCAGCATCCAAGAGACAGCAAAGCATTTAAGGGCCTCCAGGGCCTTTTGTTGCCCGATGGCAGTTGGGTTCCGCACCTTGCTGGGCAGTTACAGTGGTGCCTGATGAAGAGGGTTGGCTTTGTTGGGCTGTAGTGCCCAGTCCAGGACCACGTTTCCTACTCCCTGAACAGAGGCAAAGGGACGAGGTGGGCTCCTAGTACTTCTGCATGCAACTCCAAGTAGTCTGCCCCCAGCACAGCCCAGCCATTGCTTTCTCTCAGCTGTGTCAACCCTCATGGATAGAATACACCATTTGTTTCATAAACCACCCCTACGACAGGCCTGTAGTTATTGCTGCAATGCACAGCAAAAAGGCAGGCAGCATGTGTTGAAAGCAGCTTGGAAGAGCAAGGCTCTAACTCAAAGTCCTGTAGAAAACACCACCCTCACACACCAGCATGCTGAGACTATCTGCCAGCGCAGAACCAAAAGCTGTAATGAACACACTGCCTTCAGCTGCCAGAGGACAGATATTCTAATGACAATTGGCTGTATTGCAATGCCATATGCACAACACATTTCATTGTGTGTAGTAACTGAAAAAAATCCACTACAACATTAGAATATCACCTGTGTATGTGATCTTTTACAGATAAAGGGGTTTCAGTGCCAAAGATACAAATTAGTAAGTTTCTAGTGACACAAAAGGCTAATGAAAGGGGGCAGGTTTGTCAGATTCACCTCCGAGAACGAGAGACTTTTGGCCTTTTACCTGGAACTGGAGATGAATGTGAGTAGAATAAAAAGCAATATTGGCATTTATAGCATATTAGCATCGAGGTGAAACCAGAGGATTATTTGTTTTAATGCACAAGACTGTTGTACCGTCAAAAAGAGCTAATTTTTGTTTTCCACCACAGTTTGCTGAAATTCTTCCGGACTGTAAGATCCCCTTGAAAAATCAAGAGCGTTTTCTTGCTTTTCATACCCTAGACCAATGGTGTAGCTACTCTCAGTCTCCACACTGTGCTGTATAATATCAGGCAACAGACTTGGGGGAGAGAGATGAAGGGTACAAACGAGGATCAGTTTGATTGTGGAGCATAACCAGAGTAAAGAGAATTTCCCTATTCCAGGAAGCACTGAAAGATACCTTGTTTCACAGCATTACTTGTGCACCTTTTGATTCACATGGATAATGCCTGTGCACTAGAAGAACTGAACTGAAGGATGTAGAGGAGACTACAGCTTGCTTGATCTGTGTGTGGCAAAGATGACCAGTCAGTGTCTGTTCTATTTTACCGTCTCCAAGTGCTACTGGATTAACTCAAAACTGCCCTAGGAAATTGTTTTTTCAAGTTTGTGTTCTTCCTCCTGCTACCCCTGAAGGCAGGTACTTTGTTCAGTTGAGGGCTGAGGTGTGTTTTTACAGAAATACCAAGTAGCAGCATACAAGGAATTATGTTGTGCACAGGAGTTTCGTATCAAGTCCCCTTCTGACCTTCTGGGCAGCATGTCTCTTGGGGATGCCACCCCCTGGGAAAGCCCTCCTGTGTTGGTTCACAAGGGTGCCTTGCTGCCAGACCATGCCATTCTTCTGGAGGAAGGCACTGCCCCAGGCTGTTTGTTCAGTGAAAGGGCCAGGGTCACTGACAGATCCCATCATTTCACTGCAGTGCAACTCTGTTGACACTTCTTTACCCCAGGGGAAAATCTGCCTCATTGTCTTTTCTGACCCTCAGCACATATGACTTAGCCACGTACTAATTATCTCCTGTAGTGCTAGTGGAGGAATAAGCCATGGGGAATATGTTGTCTGCAAGCTCTGGGGAACACGATTCACAAGGAGACCTTCAGCCTGGCCAGAAGAAGATTCCCCAAAAATACCTTTCTGGCCAAGAGAAAAAGAGTCCCCCAAAGGGCACTCTGGAGCGATGAGTAAATCACCCTCTGCGGTGCCAGACTACAATAGGAAATAGGGAGATCAGCCCTTGGTTGGGACCTACACAAAGATCCTGGCAAATTCTGGCTGGGAAGGCTGGGCTCATCTGTTGTAATTCAGACATCTCGGAGTTAGACATCTAAATGTGAGCTTGAGCCCGGAGGCCTCCAGTAGTCAGAGGAAAAGAAACAGGCAATTCATCTCAGCCAAGGAGGAACTTTTAATGATAGCAGTCATGTTCCCACCAGCACTTTGGTCAAGCTTGAATCATTTTTCCCCTCTTACCTACTGCCACGTGGAAATGGGACCATCTTCCCAGGTCATCTCCTTGCAAAGCCATTCATCTCAGAGCATGTGAGCAGGAGAGCAGCTCAGAGTTCCCTATGTGAGTTTAGCCACTTCTGCGTCGTTCAGGACAAAAATAGCTCTAGGATTACTACTGCTGTAGTATTTTATTAGCCTTCTAAAAATAGGGTGTCTAACACATAAGTAATAAAGTAGTCAGTGAATTAGCTGATGAAGAGAATTTGAAGGCTACAGTATATTTGGTCCCTAAATTGTCAGCAAATAACACTGCACATAGTAAACATACCTGAGATCCTAGGAAAAGGAACTTCCCAAACATGACCCTTGCAAAGGACACACTGAACACACTGCTGTGGTTACCTATTAACTCCATTCCTCTCTATTTGCACAGGGCCAGTGGCAGGAAGCACACCGATATTGCAGAGAGCAGAAACACCAGCAATTGCTGTAACGTGTACTGCTTACACTCCTGCCAAAGATTTAATTGATACCTATGTGCTGTCCTGGCATTCTGCACAGTGGTGCATTTGCCCTGAAAGAGCAGGTTAATGATTGGCAAGAAGATTCAGAATATCCAATTCTTCAGTTTACAGTCAAGAAGTGTTGTCCAGCAACCACCAAACATCAGGCATGCCCACTGGTTGGAGCAGGAGCATTCAGTGCCCTGGCCTCAAGGAACACATTCATCTTCTTCAGCACACAGTGGGATAAAGTCAGGCAGAAAAGAGATCACTGCAATGCAAAGCAGAGCGAGGATGGCCACAGCAAAGCACCTCTGTCCAACAGGGCAGAAGTGGCAGCCAGGAGCAGCCTCTCCCCTGCACGGCCAGGGAAACCACCCTTATCTTCCCTGCTCCTCAGTTACAGAGCACCACAACAGAGCTGGGCAAGCTGGCTGTGCCTTGCAGTGCTTGGGAAAAACAAGTGGTCCTATGCTGGCTGCTACACGCTCTGGGGCATGATCTGGCTAGTTCAGAATTAGCTACAGAAACACCAAATGGG